AGAGTCTTGGTGACCAACAAACAAGAGAAACAAGGTAACGCAGAATGTAGCAGGAGCCATATGCACAGAACATTAAACACTCTGGAAGAGATGAAAGAAATACCTGAATAGATCCAATTGAGAAGTGAATGTTAGTAAACTAATGGTTTATAAATAGGAAAGCAAATAAAACTTGGACAGTCCTTCTGAGTCCAGCATGCAAGGTGCACAAGATGGTGGAAATTCAAATGTGGAGGAGGCATGGAGATGTCAGGAACGTAAACCCCATTCACTTCCGGTGCATAAGATTCCTGTCTCCTAGCTCCTTGCTTATTCTGTGATCTTTGATTTGATTCTGTCTAGAATATTAACAAATACATTGCAGAAGAAAAGTAGCAAGGGAAGACTAATCTCACTACACAATAGAGCATAGTCTCATTAAAGATTAAAATGTGCCATCTTGACCAGAACGAGACAGAGCCAAGCTGGGTATGGTGGCACATATCTGTAATCCCAGCATTCAGGAGGCTGAGGCTTAAGGATTGCTAGTTCCAGGTCAGTTCAGGCTATAGAATGAGACTTTATCGCAAAAAGAAAAGCGGGAAGGAAGGAATGAAAAGAACAACAAAACCACCCACTAAAACAATATAAAACAAAAGAAAATAAACATAACAACAACAACAAATAGGACCCCTGCTCCTGCATATATATAATTATATATTAATATAACATATGACTGTTTAAGTCACAAAGAAATACAAACACTGTTAAAGTGCTTTTGGAGTAATGAACTCTTAAGTCTTAAAATACCTATATCTTAAAATGAAGCTCAGAGGGCATTCAAGACCACTGTTCTAATAATATCAGTCTAAATAAAGAGTTTCAGGCTACACAGTAAGAACTCATGTCAAAAAAACAAAATACAACAGCAACAAAAAGATGAAGTCAGTGGTATTAGCAAAATAAACACAAATATATCATGTATGCACATACACACATATAATAAGCTCAAAAGTTTTTAAATATTGGAGGTGGGAAAGATGGCTCAGGAAAGAGATAGAAATGATGGAGAAAGGTAGATTATTGAATCTACTTTAATGCAAAAAAAATCTGTTGATCTCAAAATAAATAGGTATGGATTTTGGTTTACGGACACAAATTTAAGATAAATTTTGTTATAATATATATATATACATATATATTCTACTCTTGGTTAAGGTATTATGCTTATGCAGGGCATTTAAAATGTAATGTATAGTTAAGAAATACAAATTAATAGTCTTCTCTAATAGTCAAACTTATAGTCCTGTTAGTTAGGTTTTCTAGATATACAGAGATATATTTCAGATGAATAGGTAATCTTTAAACACTTCAAAGACCTACAGAATATGGCCATTTAAAATGTTTTAATAACTTAAAATTTTTTGGATGTGAGACATCCATTCCTGGCAGTACCAATTACTTCAAGAGGATGGTGGGCATCAAAGAAGCTCTTTATGGAGTTTGCTTTCAATGTTGCAAGACTAGCCATTTTGGCAAGAAACTGCTCTTGACTGGACTGCTTGACAATGTGCTGTATACAGTGAACATGAAGACCCACAGGAAAATGACTGCTGAACTTGCCAAAACAAGGTGAGGCTGTCCTTCAGAGTTCCTGCTTCACGAAAGAGTCTGCCAGACATTCTGCAGGACACAGGGGAAAATGACTGACAAACTGACAATAAAGGCAGGAGAGTTTCAAATTTTCTGCTTCACTGAAGTCTGTCAGACACTCTAGGCCTATAGAATGAAGATGGATGTCCCAATGTTACAGAAGAACTTTGGGTGATTGTCCAGACAGCAAGATGTCTCTGTCACTTAGAGTTTTGGAAGTTGCTTTCAATGCACTTCCTGTTTACTTAGGTAATATCATATCCTTCTGGAGTCTTTGATGGAGTTGAAGACTAGGTAGTTATAATTATAGCTTTCCTTAGTTATGATCAAAAGATAAATTAGATACAAAACTATATCTTTACCATCAAACTGACTTTGGAAAAATGATAAACACAGGAAAGAATAATAAAGCTGTGATGGGCTATGTATAAAAGCTGCCTAAAGGATTTCTTTATTATATGTGTGTGAGTGGTTTACATGCATGTGGACCATATATGTTCCTGGTGTTAGAGGAGGCTAGGAGAGGTGTTGGCACCCTGGAACTGGAGTTACAGACAGTTATGAGCTGTCAGGTAAACCCACAAGTACTCTTAACTGCTAAATCATCTCTCCAGCATCATGTATAAAAAATCTTCAGAGGTTTTTCTTGTGTTTTGATAAAAAAAAAAGTGAAGAAATATATATTTAGAAGGATACCTCTAAGTATGGTTAATGTTTTGTGGTATGTGTATTTATAAATTTATGTGGTTTATACCTATGTATATGTACAGAGGGCAGAGAAAGATGCCAAGTGCTCTTGCTCTGTTGCTCTTTGCCTTACACCTTATGGTTTCTGGAGGTGAGATGACGGTCAACAAACCACATTAGTCCTCCTGTCTCCACCCCTCATGGCTCTGCTGTTACAGGCATGCGCTGTGGCCACAACTGGCTTTTTATGTTGGTGCTGGGAACCCAAACTCAGATCCTCATGTTTGTAGAGTAAGCACCCTTACCCCTGAGCCATCTCCCTAGTTCCAAGATGGTTTATTTGTTTGCTTGTTTGTTTGTTCTGGCTTTTTAAGAGGGTCTCGCTACACAGCCCTGGCTGTCCTGGTTGAGGACTATAGAGCAGGTTGACCTCGAACTCACAGAGATCTTCCCCCTCTGCCTCCCAAGAGCTGGGATTAAAGGCATTTGCCACCACACCTGGCTCAAGATGGTTAATTAATTTTTTTAAAAAGTAATTCAGTCCTTTAAAACTGTTTTCCTGGAGATTGTACTGCTGGGAGCCTGGCTAGCGTTGAGTAGGTGTTAGTCATGGTATTTCAGCCCAGAACTTTTCACTGGCAGTGATACCCAGAATAAGCTCATGTGGCAATCAATTTGATGACGGACACCAGCCATGGACAATGTGAGGGGAAGTGTGCCTTTCCAGAGGCGCCCCATGAAGCCTGGGCCCACTAGTGCTCACAGGAGAAAGGCAGAAGTTTCCAGAAAGTGGTCCAGGAGTCACCGCCCTGCTCCCCATAAGCTGGCCTCCTCTGGGTTAGTTTGTCTAAAATGAAATGAAGCTAAAACGTGTTTCAGAAGTGTTCCTGTGAAGGCAAAACCATGTGACGAGGTCAGTAGCTCTTTGGGCCTCAGCTTCACTAATGGTAAGATGAAAGCAAAATTCCCCCTCTTGGTTTCCTGGGAGAAGATTAAATCTGAGTCTCAAATGACTCTGAGTCTGCAAAATGCTAGAGAGAATTCATTGGAATGGCATTAAAAAGAAGTAGGGCAAACCGTGTATGGCTTCATTTATGTGAGGGACCTAGAGAAGGCACAAGGCACGGAAATGGGAAGCGGAATGGTGGTAGCAATGGGCTGGGGGAGGGAGCATGGGCAGCTGGTGTCTCGTGGGTGTGGAATTGCAACCAAGGACAATGAAAAGGTTCTGTGGATGGCTGCCCAATATACCACGAATGGACCTAAAGCCACTGAACCACCGGCTGAAAATGATTAAAACGGAAAAGTTAATTCTATATATATGTTATACATAACATTCTATACATCACCACTTAACAAATACCAATGGAAGCAAAGATGAGCGGTAGACATCAATACCAAATAAGCAAGGAAAGGGGGCATCTGAGAGCAGGCGGACTTGCCCGCTGCTTCACCACAGCTACAAGGATTCAGAGGGAATGGGGGATAGCAACAGAGCATATACAAAGCACAGAGGCAAGGCCGTGAGTGTCTATGGGGGTACCAGCCTGGGGAAGAGGGAAAGACAAAGAGCCCGCCCTTCTAGAAGCATCCTTCCAAACACCTTCATTCCTTTGACCATCATGAAGCACTCTGGTTAAGGTTGCTTTTACGCAACTACCTCAGAAACTCCTCTGTGAACTCTTACAACCTCATCCATCTGTTCCTTCATAAATGCTTATTCTGGGCCCTGTTAGTGCCAGGCTCCATTGTAAGCATGGCGCCTACAATACGTGTGCAGACACACGTGTGTACACAGAGATGTAGCCCCAGACAGAAATACTGGCTCTTGGGGCCCCTCCTTTAGGGATCTTGACGTACCACGTACTGCTCTAGGCACATTGTAAATAGAGTTTAGTTCATGTGCTCTTCTTGATAAGGTTTGCAGCAACTACAATGGCCCCATGTTACATGGTGGGGGTGGGGGTGAGGGCTGGGATTGGGTCCAGTGAGGCCAGGCGGCTTGTTCAGCCAGCGGCAGAGGCAGGATGTTCACAGCTGTGGCTCACACTGGGGCATTCGTGAACTCAGGAGGAACAGACTGAGGCAGGAACAGGGAGGGTCCAGCCTCTTGCCTCGTTTTCAGAGAAGTGTGGTAGAGTGTGGGGGACAGCGGAGAGCAAAGCCTTGGAGGAAGGGATGTGTGGCCACCCAGCAGGGCAGGGCTGGGTTACGGACTTGGTGGTGACAGCAGATTAGAAAGAGGGAGCTCTGGTGTCTTGAAAAGAGGAACCGAACTATTTGGGTGGCTTCCTGAGTGCGAGGGGAAAGGCAATGTCAAAAGTTCAGACCTCGGGCACTTTCCAGACCCACTGTCACTAGCAGGCCTGGGGGTGGTAGTGGCAGGAAGGAGACAGACTTAGGCATGCTCTGCCTCAGTGGGCTAGCCAATCGGCTTCCCTCATTTGTGCACAAATACTGATGGGAAATCGACTGTTCGCACTTAAAATGTTCTCGACTCAGTGGGCTAACCAGTCCTGGGAGAGCAGGCAGGGAGAGCAGGCAGGGAGAGCAGGCAGGGAGGGCAGGGATGGAGGGCAGGAAGGGAGGGCAGGCAGGGCGGGAGAGTAGAGAGAGTAGGCAGGGAGGGCAGGCAGAGAGGATAGGCAGGGAGGGAGGGCAAGCAGGCCCCAGCAACCTACCTTTGTCCTGCTCCGCAGCCTCACTCAGTTCGGGAAGCTTGAACCCCACCAGGTTCTGGTTTCTCATCATGATATGTTCCTTTGGTGAGAAGAGGAAGAAACACAATTCAGATGACGCCACCAGGCTAGACACTTTTCTTTGTCCCCAGTGGCTCTGTACCCACTCAGCCTTACTTATATGGGCTTCCAAGGACAGTGACCAGAGTGGGTGAATTGGCATGACAAGGTATGGTGAGGCCAGAGGGGCACAAGGTCCTCTCCCCGTCCATAAAAGGGCCTGAAATGCCACCATTGGGTTAAGAACTACCTCCCACATGGCTTGCTTATTAAAGGAGCTCTGGGCCTCAGGGAAATGAGCTGCCCAGCCTGACTGTGGAAGAAGTGTGTAGGGACTGTGTAGTCCTTAGGCACTAAGGACTTTGGGGACAGTAAGGTCCTGGATATGCATGCAACCGCTTCTGTGTAAGTCTTGAAGAACTTATAGCTGGCAGCAGCTTCCTGCCCTGCTCTTCTGTGTAAGTGACACGCCTTCCTCAATGATCTTGTGGCCTGAGAGCCATTGCCTGGGGAACTGAGCAAGCAGGCAGACCTAGGTTGAGGGTGGACCTAGTAGGCCATCCTCATTCCAAGCCAATTCCTGTCAGACTAGGGCCCTCTAGTGGGATGCCTGAGTTTTTTCCTGGTCCCTGGTGCTATCCAAGGGTTTTCAGCCTCCCAGGTGACAGAAGCCACTTGAGTGACTGGCCTCTGGGTAAAAGAGGGAGAAAGATGCCAGCAGAAAATACTCAGGCTCCAAAGAGAGCTGAGGCCATCCTGTGCTGATATACTCAGCAAGCCAGAGGTTCAGGTCAGCTGTCTTCACACTGGACAGCGTGAGGTGTGTGTGCTCAGCTGCCAGACCAACAGTGGCATGAACTGCCAGGCTCTCTGCAACTTCCTTTGCTGAGTGAGTGTGACCTAAAGGGGGTGGGGAGTTCTGGGGGTGGTGGCTTACTCTCCCAGCATTTGAAATCCATGAAGGTGAATCCCGAGATGTCTGCCCCTTCATTTCCACTTGCCTTCACAGATGTGGGATGTGGCCCAGGGTGGGTGATTCTGCCTGGACTTGTTCTAAGCTACCAGGTACCCTGAGTTCTGGATTAGAGGATGGGGGTTCTATGTGAATTGTTAATCTTCCTAAGTCTCGACCCCAAAACATTAGAGATGATCTAATGATTTTCTATCTATCTATCTATCTATCTATCTATCTATCTATCTGTCTATCATATATACAAAGACATATATTTTTTCTTACTTGCTTCAAAGCCACTATGTATGTGATCATGACATTGAATTTCTGATCCTCCTGCCTCCACCTCTTTGGTTCTGGGATAACAGGCCTGAGCTACCACCACACATGGTTTTATGTGATCTGAGAACCCAGGGCTTTGTAAGTGCTGGCGTGCACACCGCTCTACCAACTGAGCCACTTTCTCAGCCTCACAGAAGCCGTCTGAACAGCACAGTGGCCTTTTAGGCTGTGTCCTTGCTAGCATAGATATTCTCATTTGCGCTGGAGTGCTAAGACCCTCGCTTCCTTCCTCTTCCTCACTCCCTCAGTAGAGGAGCCAGGGGATTTTGCTCTATTCCAGGCCCTAATCTATAGGATCCCAGTCCCTGACCTGGATTGAGGTTGGCCTTCTGAGAGAGAAGGGACTAGATTGGGACTTGTTTATCCAATTAATCCTTCCCTTTTACAATCTCCCCTCTGCCGCTCTATAACCACTCATTGTACAGTAGGGCAGTCCCCTGACTGACCACTGTCCCTAGCTTGATGACCAGTGGAAGTTGAGGACACCATGGACACTGGAAGAAATTCACCATGGAGGAGCAGTCCTGTGTTGACAATGTCATGGTGGTTCCTGGGTCTAAGGCCCTTGGTTAATAGGTACCAAGAAGGCAGGCCGAATACCATTATAAAAAGAAAGCCTGCTTATCCTGGTCATGACCAGATACTCCATCAAAGGCTCCTGTCGCCAATTCTAATTAGAGGAGGAAGACAGCTCAGGATAAGGAGTCCATATGCCCAACTTCCCCTGAAGTGTGGCTAAGTGTGACCACTATGTCTTGGGCTGCTGCTATGGAGATGTAGCACTGATGGCACCGGCTTCTCAGGGTCGAGAAGTCTGGGACTCCTTGAAGTCAAGGCTGCCCTGTCCCAGAGTTCAGCATGAGTGTGAAAGTCTTTAGCTCACGGGGGACCTGGCATGGCCACACTGTGCAGCGGGGCAGGAACCCACCTCCCGAAGCTTGGTCAGTTTCTGCATGCGCACCGGCTGTACTTGTATCTGGAAGTCTTTGAGCCCAGGCGGCTTGGCTAGCTTGGCTTTGCCTGGAAACCTCTTCTCTTCCTCTGACAGAGGCAGTTTGGCAAGTACCTTCTGCAGCAGGGGACCAGGTTCTTCAGGACTGCTGTCCCAAGAGACTCCCCGTATCAAGGGGGGGCGGGACACAGGGGGCCGCAGCTCAGGTTTGGGACCAGCCTTAAGCCCCACAGGCTCTCCTGCAGAGCTTTGTCCCTGCGGATGTGGGGAAACAGTTCCTCCTGAGCCTTGGACTGCACCTCGGGGCAGAGGGCCGCCTTCCCTGGCTGTCTTCTGGAGCTGCCTCCCGAGTTCCATCTCAGCAGGGCCAGTCTGGGGGCTGTTCAGGGCCATTTTCCCACTGATGCTTGCTCCTGAAGCCTGAGCCATGGGTGTCGCCTCCGGATGCTGAAGGGGATCAAAGTTTTCCTTTTGTTCTACTCTAAGTTCTTTGGATTTCTCCAGTGTGGGAGAGCGAGGAGCCAGTCTGCCTTGAGACACTTTCCTCTGGTCATTCTGCTTCCGGTCCGCTAGCCCTTTGGAGACAATCTGAAAGAGACAAGGTAGAGTTGGGACCCTGGAGGTAGGCTGAGGAGAACCCTGGGGGCAGGCTGAGGAGATTCAGAACCTGGACACGAGGCCTATTTATATATTTGTAGGAGAGTCCCAGCTTTCCTGCACCTTGAGTTGAGATGAACAGCTCATGTCTGACTGTGGCTGGGTTTGGGGGTGCAGAATCACTCTTCTGAGGTGTGTACCTTACCTCCTTCCCTCTCACACTTCCACCTCAGAAGACAGAGGTGCCTCCTGCTTGCCCAGTACCCATCCTCTACTCACACCCACGCCCCACATCTGCAGGCTGCCCAGGGGCCAGCCTAGGCTTCTGAGACAACATTTCCCACATTCAGATCATTGCAGAGCAACAAAGCACAAACTCACAGGCTCTCCCAGGTGAGATGAGGAGATGTCGGCCTCATGCCCCTTTTGCTGAGAAGGAAAACACAGGTCAGCAGCAGTGGGAAGAGGCCTGCTCCCTCTTGAAGATTAGCAGGGTGTAAATGCGCCCCCCCACCCTGCCACCTCCCTCATTCGGGGCTTACAGAGAGTCCTAGAATGCTAGGAACAAGAGATCTACTGGTATAGAAGGAGCACAGGTGTGTCGTTACCTGTGGTGGTCCTCCCGGCAAAGGGGACTGCGGGCCACTGCACGCGTCGAAACCTGCAACGGGCCAGCAAAGGTAAGTGATGCCCGTCACCTAGCTCCATAGTTGTCACCTTAACATCAACCCCTGGCCCTCCTCACATGCCCCCCCCCAAAACCTCCTTGAGCCATCCATTGTAAGGCCTGGCAGCCAAAAACAGTGTTGTTGCTCACCTGCCAACATTGAATCACATAGAAGCCAAATAAGGAAACTGAGTCACGGGGGACCTGAAGGTTTGATCACCAGGAAGCATCTGTGCATATAGTGTTCTGGGCTTGTCCTCCAGCACTGACAAGGGCAGGCTGCCCACATGGTACTCTGGTGCATGAGGGTGTGGCTGGGCCCAGCCCAGAAAGGAAGAGACCTAAATGCATACAAGGCTTGAAGATGTAGCTCGGTGGCAGAATGCATGTGTGAGGATCCCAGGACCACAAGAACAAACCAAACTTATAGTGGTCCAAACAAGAGGATCCAAAACAATCTGTGATGGCATGTCTCTGAAGACAGAGCGCCCATCATAGGCCCCTTCCTGTGACCTCAGCCCTGCCCTCACTCAGCCTGTCTCTTGCTGCCTGCTGTTCTGTTTCCAGTCCTCAGAGCCTGTGCATCTACCTCACTGCAGGGGGTGGGAGGTCAGCCTCACCTGGTGGTGTGGAGATGGTGAGCGAGCAGCTTCTGGAGGGTGCAGGAGAAGCTCCAGGGCTGAGGTTTGGGGAAACCGCTGTGGAAACAAACACCTGGCTGGCATTCGTGAAGGGCTAGGACTTCTGCCACCTAACAAATGATTCTTCCAGGGAGATTTCACCTCTGGGAACCGGACTGCCTTGTCAGGGTCACGGGCTGGTTCTGGATTGCCGTATAAGGCTCCTATTACAACCCAACTTTTGCTATGGCCAGCCCAGCTGAGGGTCCCTCAGGTAATTTCCAGTATGTGAGGTCACATCCCTTAGCCTGCTTGACCTGACCTCAGAGAACTTTCCAGAAACTGAGGACCTGGCATAGCTTGACAGTAAAAGCATGCAAGGTTGCACTTTCTGGATGCCATCGGACCACTCTGATTTCAGTGCTCTCCTTGTCCTCCAAGGCCGTTAGACTAGTCTAAAACCCACGTCATCTTTCCGCACAGAAGGAGAGGGACCACAGCACAGCACGGCAGAGTGTCCCCGGAAAAATCATCTCTCTAGCCCAGAAATTCCCTCAAAGTCTCTCTCTTTTCCAGAGTTGGCGATCAGGGCCCAGGCCGATCTTCTCAGCCCTTTGCTGGGGAAATGCCCACCACAGAACAGGGTCTTCATAGAGAGGGTGGGAATATTAGGCAGACTCTGCTGTGCAAGGCCATGAAAGGGTCTGTGCATATGGGAATCACACAGGGTTTCTCTGCATGAGTGCTAAGGACCTAGGCATTCATGAAGGAGAGTTGCTGAGACCAAATAAAAACACTGGCATCATATGGAATGGCATTTGTCCACACATGGGGGAAGGCCTAAAAGCAAAACACAGGAGAGTTCTGAAGCAGAGATGGTTAGGTGCTTTGGAACTCTGGAATCTGAGTGCAATGGCTTCTCGAGGGGTCATCTCTGCAAGGCTTGGGCCTTCTAGAACCTGGAGGCAAAGGGGACAGGCCACCTGAAGCCCACCCTCTGGGAAACAAGGTCCCCCTGCAGCTGGGACGTGATCTTCCCCTCCCTCCCCTCAGCCTGGCCTCAGAGGGGCTCAGACAGCCACCTGTCCTGCTGCTGGTCCTGCCCTACCTGATGGGGAGTCTCCGGGGCTGCTCCTTGATTTCCTCCCGCGGCGGGCCAGGAATCGCTCACTCACCGACTTGGCTTCTTCCAGAAGCGCCAGGTTTTTCTTCTTGTCCTCCTCTGAGATGCTGATGTCTGGCAGCTGGTCATTTACCAGGTCAATGACGTGTCCCGTGGGGTCTGTAAAAAGAGAATGGGCTCCCAGTGAGAGTTACCTCTCCTGAGAGGCCCTGTAGCCTCAGAACTCAGCTATATGCCCATGTCGGGGTGGAGGGCATGGGGAGAGACGGTGACTTCCTCAGTAGTCCTGCCTCTGTCTTGAGGCTATCAGAAAGGTTCATGAAGTACACTTTGGTGCCCAGAGGTGTCCTAACTCTGCTCTAAAGGGGGTCCTGCCTTCACGCTCTGTTTCTTTACAAGCTAATTAGTCACTGTGTAGATAGGGACGAAGCTCAGAGCTGTTGTCCCAAGCCCCAGCTGCAATCCCATGGTCTCTTTTCTCCTGCTCACCCTTCCCCAAACTGCCCCTTCTCCAGAAGTGCCCTGGGTGCTGAGTGGGTGACACTATCTTCTCGCTGGGCACTCAGGGATAATGGTCACTCCAGGCATCCCCTTTTCCTTCCTCAGTTTCCCTGTCTAAGACCTGGCCCAGGAGTAGCATCTACCTATAAGTGTCCCTGGAACCTGTCCCCATTTCTATTCCTTCTCATAAGCTCTTACTTGAACAATTACATCGGCCCCCTGAAAAGCCTCTGCCTTCAAGCCAGTCTCTTTGCCCCACTGTCTGTTGCCTACAGAGTGGCCTTTCTAGCATCCATGTCTGATCACGCTGTCCTCCTGCCTCATCCCGTGGAAACTATTCAGAGTTCCCAGGGTCACATCTAAACAGGTCACCAACTTTGCTGGTCCTACATCCTGCTTCCAAGACCTTGTCCCAACTCCAGCCCTTCTGTGGTTGGCTCCCAGTCTGTCTCCCCTGCCTCCGTTCATGTCCCTTCCAGAAGAAGCTCTTCATTTTCACTAGGGGAAGCCCTCTAAATCCATCCCCAGCCATAACTCTGCCTCAAGAGCCAAGACTGAGCGGGGGTGGGTCGCAAACCAGCCTTGGCCAGTCAAGCAATGCCATCCAGGCAGCCAGAGGGATGGGCTAGCAATGACCACATGAGGCTCATGAGAAGCAGTGGTGGGAACCGAGAGGGAAGAAGGGCTTCACAGATGAATCTGAAGAATAGAGGTGCAGCCAGCCATTTGTCCCCATGAGGGGAAAGTCTTCTCTGGAAGAAGACTCACACATTGAAGGAGATGAGATGTAAAGGTCCGATAGCTAAGAAACAATCGAATACCTGGACCCCACAGTTCCTGGAGCCATAGACTCTGACAGAGGAGATGGTGGTGGAGGAAAGCAAGGAGAGGTGGGGAGGAGAAGGGGGAGGGGAGGGGAAGAGGATCGCACTGTCCTAGAACAAGCTACTATGTGTTGGGCTCCATCATTTGCCGTGGTTGTGACACATAGGCCCAGCACAGCATCTGGGCATTTGATTGCCACAGTGCTCTGTGGGACTCCTGCTTCATCCACACCTCTTCATCTACCTAGTGTGCCGTCTTTCCCTCCTGTGCATCCATCTTTAAGGGGAAACTCAGATATCTCTTTCCCTGGAATGACAGCACATCCCCCCGCCCCCACTGGGAGAAGGGGGCCCCTTGCTACCTTGGTTTTCTTAGGTCTCCCTTAAATGGGCCCTTACCAACACCAACTCACTCCCCGACCCCCTTAAACAGTGTAATCAACACTGAATACAAAGACCAAGTCTACGTGACCCCTTTAATGATCCCATGAAGGTATGAAAACCCATTAGTAGCGACGAGCACGGATCATAGCCACCAGTCTTTCACATGGGTGCACTCCCACCTGGGCATGTATCTGCCCAGTAGCACAGCCCCATGACTCTGCCCCTTGAGCCCACTGCTGAGCTTCACTTTTCTGTCTTTGCTGACTTCCTCTTCTTCCTCTTTCATTCTGACACTGAAACTAGACATCATTGCAGCTGGACCCAGACGTGGAGAGGCCGATCTCCTCTACCTTTGGGCTTGGGGAGAGGGAGCAGGGCCGAGTGTGCCTAAGGAGCTCATGCTTGCTATTCGAACACATGCTCATATTGAACCAGCCCTTACCCACAGAAGTCAGCGGAGCTGTGGAGACCTTCAGATGTCGGTGGGAAAGCCTGCGGTGGGGGCTGGGAGCTCTGAAAGACAGGACATGGTCATCCTGTTAGAACGTCTGCCCGGAGATGGACAAATGAGAGGCCTCTACAGTCTCTCACTGTCATCTTATCGGCACAGGCCCTCTGACTGTCACCTTGGGAGCATGTTAAATGGATGAATTCCCAGGCTGTACGCCAGTCTCACCTCAGAGCCCCGGGAGCCCCACTGACTCAGCAAATCTCTATGCCACTCTGCGGCCCACTCAAGGTACCCAAGCCCGCTCTCAAGGGATGAACTTTACTGCAGTATTTACTGTGTGTGAGGACCCAGACTCTGTGTAGAGCTGTCGTCTATGGAAACCTCATGAAACATGCATAGGGGCTGGTAGACACGCATGAGAAGATCAGAACATGGTTTCACTGCCCTGAAAACGTGAAGCTTTTGTTGTTGTTTTGTTTGTTTTTGTTTTTTTGAGACAGGGTTTTGCTGTGTACCCTTGACTGGACACCAGGCTGGCCTCAAACTCACAGATATCCACCTACCTCTGCTTCCTGAGTGCTGTGATTAAAGGTGTGCACCACCACTGCCCAGCTATATGAAGCTCTTTTTAAAGATTTGTTTTTAATTCTGTGTGTGTTTGCATGTGTGTGCAGATGCATGAGGAGGCCAAGGCATCAGATTCTCCTGGAACTGGAGTTACAAATAGTTGTGAGTCACCCAATTTGAATGGTGAGAACCAAACTCAGGTTCTCTGCAAGAACCATGTATGCATTTGACTACTGAACCAATCCAGCCACAAGAAGCAGTCTTAAATGACTTCACAATTTTATTCAGCTTTTCCACCCCCTCCCACACTGATTATGCATGTATATTCATTTCTTATATCCTCCTTGGCATCCACTCTGCCCTCTTGCCTCTGCCCTTAATTAATGGATGAAGAAGGTTTGGCATGCATACTCTTGTGAAAATTACCCTCTTAGGAGAATTATCCTCTGGCTAGTGTCTGTGGTGTTGCTCATAAAACCCAGTACTTTGGACTTGATGGGCCAGCACCTTCCCACGGACCTGTATCCCTGTCCCTGAGAATTATCTTTTAAAATTATTAAAAGTGATACCTAGACAACTTTATTCCAGCTAGATCAATGCAGGGACCTGTGATGAGGAACAGTGACATCCCTGTGATGGCGACCCAGTGTCCCTTCCAACGGATTATCTTCCAAGGAGGACTGGTTTGTCCACAGCAGAAGTCTGCAGTCAAAGACCCACATCTTCCGGGTTTGTATAGGAATACCTGGGTTGACATTATGGGAATTTTCCCTGCTGTGATGTCTTGTGCTTTTCTTAAAATCTCACAGGGCCAAATCCAAGAGCAAGAACATCATTTTGGGGAAAAAAAATTTGGGGGGGAAATCCTAAATTCTCTTTCCTCATTTTGAAAAGCTGTCTGCTAATACTTATTTTTATTTTTGAGACAAGGCTTCTTGTATCCCAGACTGGATCTGAACTCCCCATGTAGCCAAGGATGGCCTTGCACTTCTGATTTCTTGCCTCCACCTGAGTGCTGGGGTTGCAGGTGTACCCTACCATATGTGATCCTTGCAATCAAACCCAGGGCTTCACACAACATGGCAAGAAGCAAGCTACCAGTTGAGCTCCATCCCCAGTCCTCTTTGATAGTGTCTTTATCAGTAAAGTGATTCAGAGATGAAGAGAACATTTCTAGAAACACACACTCAATCCCTCCATTTTAGAAAGCATGGCCCATCTGCCTGGGCCACTTACCTGTTGACCAGGTTTTTGTCGGTTTCTCCTTCAGGTGAACTGGCATCCCCCGTCAGGATGATTGTGGGAGGACTGTGAAATGGTCCTGCAGAGGGAGAGTCCTGGTGGTTTAGAGCAAAACACAAATGGAGTTAGGCCTGGGCTGGGGGGGAGCATGCGGGGCCATGGAACTGCAGCGCTTCCCAGTGTGACTCCCAAGGCCATGGCCACAGGTCACCAACTCTGTTTCAGCTTCGTCAAGGAGTAATTGAAAAATGGAAATTGCATATATTCAAGGTGTGATATTTTGATGTGGGGTACATTGATATAGCTACAGATAAGTAAATGAACATATGGACTGCCTCAGTTCTCTCTCTCTCTCTCTTCCTCCCTCTATCTTTTTTACTCCCTCCTTCCTTCCCTCCCTCCATCTCTCCCTCTTCTCTCTCCCTCCCTCCTATGTTGGGGTGCATGCTGCCATGTGGTGCCAGGAATCAAACCCAGGTCCTCAGCCAGTGCTCTTAACTGTTGAGCCATCTCTCCAGCCCCTCGGTTTTTGCTTTCCTCAAAACTGAATGATAAGCAAGCTCAGGTCCATATTTCTGTATTGGAACTACAGAAAAACTAAATTCTAGCCTGGCCTGTTCCAATCATTCAGGCCTATGGACCCAAACACTTCTGTTATGGCCTGCCCTGCCTTTCTGGTGTACATAATATTTAAGTCTGAAGTCTCCCTGACTCTCATGTTCTTGTTCACAAGTGACTCTTGCCACAGGAAAGCTGATCAACTTTCCTGTGCACATTAGAATGTGCAGAGGATTTTGTCTCAACTGAATATTTGAGCTCCAGAAATTGTCTTTTTGTGCCTGCCTTACTTACTTTCAGCCCGTCTCATATGAGTCTCCTGGTGAACAAAAGATGTATGCTGGCTAAAATGAGAAGATGTAAGGTCAGTCCAAGAGTGCACAGCTGGCCATTGAAAACACTGCTTTGCCCCAGGGTCACACCAAACCCAGGTAGCATCCTTCCCACGGGGCCACACTGCTTCTCTGTCTGTCAGCTTCTCTTTATTGACACTTCCCCCTGGTTTCTGGTGTCCTTCAGACAATATTCTCTTAACTTTCTATGCTGCACACTTCACTGTGGGGATGTCTCTTCCTCCAAGAAGCCCTAAATCCAGATGAGACAGAACACACAGCAAGAGGTATGGTGTTATTTTGTTGGCGATCTAATAAACAAAGTTTTCCAGAAGATCAGAGTGTGGAACTAAACCACTAGTTAGCCACAGAGGTCAGGTAGTGGTAGCACACACCTCTAATCCCAGCACTCAGGAGAAAGAGGCAGACAGATCTCTGGGAGTTCAAGGCCGCCCTGGGCTACACAAGATTGATCCAGTCTAAAAAAGAAACAGAGCCAGATGGTGATGGTTCACACCTTTAATCCCAGTGTTTGAGAGTCACATGCCTTTAATCCCAGCACTAGGGAGGTAGAGATGGAAGGGATATGGCTGGGTGGTGAGAGGAACATAAGGCGGGAGGAGACAGGAGCTCAAGGCATTCAGTTTGAGGACTTGTTCAGACAGGATACCCCATTCGGTCTGAGGATCTCATAGAGGTAAGAACTAGTGGCTGGCTACTCTGCTCCTCTTATCTTTCAGCATTTACCCTGATATCTGACTCCAGGTTTTTATTATTAAGACCAATTAGAAATCATGCTACAAAGAGAGAAGCAGGATGGGGCAGCACCACGCCTGGGCTCTTGTCCCTCTTCCTCGTCTGAGGACTCAGCCTCCCCAGGGCTCTATCTCTCTTCTCCTCGGGGTCAGCCAACCTCTGTGGGGCTGTGCCACCTCCAGCAAGCTCGCCTCAGTCATAAGCAACAGGTCACATTTTGTTCCCCTCTAATAAATCTAATAGAAACATTTAAATGTTTATTTCACTCATAAATTCCCAAGCGTGCACAATAGTTTCCTATGTTCCTGAGCACATGGATAAATATAGACCGTGTCATAGATGGGAATTTGAGCTTTGAGTCTTCAATGTCAAATGACTAGGTCTGGGCTAGGACACTTTAGGAACAGCTCCAGGGCTAGTCCAGGCAAGTGTGGGGAGTGTGATTTCTGTGGTGGCTTTGGGTGACAGTGGAAGGAGGAGGAGCCTAGTGGGTCAGTAGGAAGAGGGAAGAGGCTGGGTGGACCTGCAGTGGAATCCCAGCCCGGTGACCTCCGGGCAGATATTTCATTTCTCTGATCTTTATGTTTATAAACATCAAATGGAGCTAATACTCCCTAGACAGACTTTCAAAATAAACACAGATAAAGCAATAAGAATGATGGCAGAGGAGGGGTGGGAGGTCGGTGCACATTGTTTGACTATATCCACAGTCTCTCTGCTATAGCCCAGAAGGCAGGCAGGGACTCCCTTGGGAGGGGAATTTGTTCTCGCAAGACAAAATAGAAAGATTCTCAGGGGACTTACAAGAAAATGATGACTCCAGTGTCAAGTCCTAAGGCCATGGGAGAGAGGGGAAGGACTTCTGTGAGGCACATGACTCCTCCGTGCACACCATGGAGAGCATTCTTTGCCCCACGATCCGAAAGACTTGCTCCCCAGTGTATGCTTCCACGTGCCCAGGGCCCACTCTGATTCTGTCCATCTCTGCCAGCGTCCGCTTAGGTCCCAGAAGTCAGAGATCCATAGCCATTGGAATTTCCTGCTCTCTTTTTAGCCTTACTCTTTCTCTTAGGCCATCACATTTCAAAGTGTGGAGCAGTACACAATGGGTGTTGGCCATGCTTTGCAAAACATCACTCAGCCAGCCCCACTCATCCACCATCATCGTCAGTCCTCCCTCCCTGGTGCTCTTCCTTCTTTCATGTCTTCCTCCCTTCAGTCTAACCATCTAATTATCCAACTTGCCACATGGCCATCCATCCATCCATCCATCCACCCAATCATCCATCCATCCACCCAATCATCCATCCATCCACACATCCATCCATCCAGGCATCCACCCAATCATCCATCCATCCATACATCTATCTATCCAGGCATCCACCCAATCATCCATACATACATACATTCATCTATCCAGGCATCTACCCAATCATACATACATACATACATACATACATACATACATACATACATCTATCCAGGCATCCACCCAATCATCCATACATACATACATTCATCTATCCAGGCATCCACCCAATCATCCATCCATCCATCCACCCAATCATCCATCCATCCACACATCCATCCATCCAGGTATCCACCCAATCATCCATCCATACATACATACATACATCTATCCAGGCATCCACCCAATCATCCATACATACATACATTCATCTATCCAGGCATCTACCCAATCATCCATCCATCTATCCAGGCATCCACCCAATTATACATACATACATACATACATACATACATACATACATACATACATCTACCCAGGTATCTACCCAATCATCCATCCATCCAACTATCCAGGCATCCACCCAATCATCCATCCATCCATCCATCCATCCATCCATCCATCTATCCATCCAATCATCCAGCCAACCAACCAACTCCCTCCTTTCCTTTCCTCCTTCCCTCCCTCCCTCCCTCCCTCCCTCCCTCCCTCCCTCCCACTTCTCCCCTCCTTTCTTCTTCCCTAAGCTCCTGCCATACTCTAGGTCTATACTAAAGGTAAAGATAGATGTGTGAAAGATGTGACCCCTGAGCCCCAGAATGCTCACATTCAGTTTAACAGGGGAAAGAGAAACAGGACAAGCCACTCTTGCTCATAATGGGAACCAAGGATGAACCATTTTGATATGCATTCCTGACTGTAATCACCATTTCTGAAATACATTCTACTTTGATTGAAGCAATCCTACAGCTTGTCTCATAGCTCATGTGCTGTGACAGCCTTCTTGATTCTTTTTCCCCAAGCTTCCTCTCTATCTAACCACAGAAGATGAATCATCAGCACCCTCTGCCCATACTTGAGACCACTGGGGCTTAGTACAATGGCCTCACTGGCAAGAAGAGGCAAAGAAGGCAGGATCATGTACACAAGGAATCTTCAATTTGACTCTACACTTAACTGTGACACACTATGTGACCGTTGACAAATACATAACATCTTAGGTCCAGTATCTTCAGCTATACTACAGTGGAATGATAATATCTAACATGGATCAATGGATACCAGGTACCCAATAAACATTACTAATACCTCCTACATCAAATCCTAATGCCTTATTGATAACTTCTGAAAAGATATTTCATTTTAGACCTTAATTGAGACCATCATAGACGGATGTGATAACCTAAATGAATGCTGTGGTTCCGATATGAAATGTCCCACATAGCTTCATAGGTTGGAGTCTAGAAACCCAGTTGGTGGTGCTGTTTTGGTGGGTGCTTCAAACTGTAGGGGAGTGGAGCCTAACTGGAGGAAATTAGGTCAACTCAACAATGTCCTAGTGGAATATACCTTGTCCCCATCCTTTTCCTGTCAAGTTTCCTGCTTCCTGTCTGTCATGAGGTGAGTGGCCTTGCTCTACCACCCTGCTGTGATGTCCTGCCTCTCTGTGAGCCCAGGAAAAACAGGGACAAGGGATAATGGGCGGAAACCTCTAAAACCATGGGATGAAGATGAATAATCCCTAAGTTGGCCCAGGTATTTCAATGACAGCTATGGAAGTCGAATTATAGAAGTGAACAAAAGCTCTCAAGGAAGATGGTACAACATTCCAGATAGAGCGTCTGAGGACTTCCTTATGGTTCTGGAGGTGAGCCTGTGCTTGGCTCACCTGGGTGTTCATGCCTGTAAACTAACAATACCTGCTCCTGGCATTGGGAAGCCACCCTGTGGTGAGTGCATACAACTGTGCTGGCTTGCAGGAAGATGGGGTTCTCATGGGGAGGGGGGGTGTTGGAGGACTCCCCTGCTCTAGGGGGTCCATCCAAGGTTACAATGATTTTATATGCATCATCTATTTCATCTCCATCTCATTCCTGAAAGAAGATTGGTTGTTTAGGTCTTATAATAATTAGTGTTAATTGTCAACTTGGTGTAATTGAGAATCATTTGCAATCACTTAGGATGTGAAGCCCAGGTAGTC